AACCCTGAACCCTGAACCCTACAACTGTTGCTGTTGGTCTCAGCTGGGAGGCCAAAGCTGCCGTTCGATGTCTGCTTGAAGCGGTGGCCTACATTCACAGCCACGGCATCATGCACAGGCCGAACTTTTTGCAGCCTTAAAGGGGCCCCAAGGGCGTTATATAGGGGGGCGGTATGAGACGATATAAGGGGTATATAAGGGTTATACAGTGTATTAGGCAAGCTATCCTACAGCTATCCTAAGTACCTTGAGGTCAAGTTCAGGGTTTTTAAAGGGGGATTGGGGGTTGCGGTTCCAGGGCGAAGAGCCCACTCGAGCTGCCAGGGATTTGAAGCCCGAAAACATCTTGCTGGCCCGGGGCCCCAGCCCAGAGCAATCAATTGTGTGTGTGTGTGAGAGTCTGTGTATGTATGTGTATGTATGTATGTATGTATGTATGTATGCAGTGATAGTAGAATAGACCAGACAGTACATATGACTCATATGACAATATGATATGAGATTATGTGCAGTGTATGTAGGTATGTGCATATATACATATAATATATATATATATATTGTAGGAGGAGAGAGATAGGTACATAGATAGATGTAGTCTTTAGAGACATTCTCCTTTGTCGCTCGAGATGTTACTAAGGCCAGTCGAGTCAGCAACACGGAGCTGAAGATCTCTGACTTTGGGCTGGCAAAGATGTCCAAGGAGCATGGCAGTGACTCATGTTCGGGTAGGTCCGGTCACGAAGAATAACCTCAGAGCCTATGCCTGTCCCTTGCTGTAGACCTTCTGGGAGCCAGGGCGGAGCAACCTATTTTGCATGTTGCTGACAGTTTGTGGGTCCTCTGGCATGTGCTGTTGGTGTTGGCTCGCTTGGAATGATGGCTCTGCAGCATCATCATTTATTGGACGATCAACGGCGGTTCGTCAAGCTACATATGGCGTCGGAGTCAAATGCAATTGTGATAGAACTCTGCCTTCAGTTGCCGAGTCAGTGTTGGCAAGACCGTGGAGAGATGTCTGACGGCATGCAGAACGGCTTACCTGTTTTGCTGGTAGCACCGGCATTCCTCATTCGGTTTCTCTGGATGGTTTGAGTGTCCTCCGGCTGTCTTGTTCGGGCCCAACTTCTCTGTCAGAATGTGCTTCAAGTCTAGCCGAACGTGCATGGACCTGCCTGTGGATTTGGCCAAGACTTGTGCACAGGTTGGGCATTTGTCCACTGGTAAGACTTTATTTTCTGACATGTATTGCAAATCCTTGCGCCGACCTCAGACCGGGGTCATGAGGGAGAATCGGACCACGTTTCCCAGGTAAGCTTGGCATGAAGCACGTCTCCTCCCCAAGTCACCTTCATGCCGACCACATACAGAAGGCACAGGTTCCATCCATGGAAGCTCACTCTTGCCCATCAGCTGACGGCGCCAGAAATGGCTGGAGTTTCAGCGGATCCCGTCCGTGCATACCCAACAGGATGGCTGTCCCATGCAACCTCGACGTGAAAGGCATTTATGTCCGTGACACAGGTCATGTCATCTGAATCAGTCATAGCAGTTGTGCCGATGCTCTGAAATCTTCTACGCCGTCTATCCCTGACCTACACTTCAAGCATGCACAGGTGTTAGAACTGTCGTTGTTCTTTTCTCTTGATGCATTACCCGGTCAAGATGCACAGGACGTCTGTGCAGACTGAATCGTCTTTTGCTGCTTGAAGTGGTGCTTTACGTGCAAGGTGATTTTCATGCAACGAGTGCTGCTGGGCACCCCAAGCCGAGGCTAATTAAGCCCAACACCTCGAGTGTGCTGTCAGAGCAGCATGTTTGCAGTTTGCAGGATTCATAAACTTGTTCTCTAATGTCCACTGTACGTCCCCCGGAGACTATCTCGCAGGACTACCCTCGCCGCTTGCCACGGTCTCACTCAATCTGCGGTTCGGACTTTTACTTGGCCCCAGAGGTGATCAAGCAAGAGGACTTCCAGAGAATCTACACTGTTCAAACAAAACTAAGATCTATCGGCCGAGATATATGCCCCCTACGGCACAGGAGTATGGCAGAGAGATCGACATTTGGGCGCTCGGAGTGCACACCTCAGCCCTAGCACAGGAAATACGAGGAGTTCACATCACCTTGAACCGACCTAGGTCATCACTTACGTCTTGCTCAGTGGATCCTTGCCCTTCTTTCACAACGTCCTGCACAAGCTGTCAGCCTGCCATGGCATTTGCAAGCGCTAAAAGGGGCAGGGCCGATTCTAGCCTCCCAGCCGCAGCTCGAAATGATGGTTTGGGCGACGTAGTTCCGAAACCCTAAATACTAAATGCGGCTTTACTTGACAGGTACCGCCAGATCGTGGAAAGAGACCTGTCCTTCCCAGATCAGGCGAGGGAAGCTGCGCGACCGCATGACTTCAATTTTTGATGCCCCAGGCGTGGAAAAATGTTTCCAAGGGTGCCTTGGACTTTATCTTGAGGCTACTGCAGGCCAGAGCCTCATAGGCCTGGACCGCCCGCGGACGGCTTCCAGTGGTGTTTGCAAAGGTTCGGCCTGGGGATCGACTCACGGCAGACCAGGCCACAGCACCTCGGTGTGCCACTGCTCGTGCCGGCTTGGCTGTCTCGAAGGCGCTGAGCCACCCGTGGCTTCGAAATGGTTCCAGTGCGCAGATGGCTCAGTGCAGAACCGACATAGTAGGTACCAGTAGCTGTGATCAATAGATTGCTTGGCCTTTGCCAGGGCAAGCTTCAACAGCTTCACCACGGCTGGGGTCTCGGGGGGGGAAGGAGCTCACATGCAGCTTTTTTGGCGAAGATCGAAGCCCATCTAAGGCCAACAGCCAGGGCATGGCCCCGACGGCCAACTACTACAACACCTACGCTGGCGGCTACGGCGGAATGCCTCGCCCAGTGCATGGACCTTATCTCAAATCTTCGAAGGAGTCTAGCAGACTTCTCATAATCTTCAGGCTGCATCCTCTCGAGCATGCGAGGAAGGCCTTTCTTTCCCCTATGCCGTATCAGTTCAACAACCCGCAACTGGGCAACGACGAGCCAGGTGTGAAGGCTTCCAGCAGGTGGACCTCTCGCCCTCCTGGCATGTGAAAGCAGACAGGGAAAAGCGGGCGTGCTTGTGATTTGGACAGCACCCGCCTTCAGGAACTTGACGGACCATGGCAAGATCTGTGAGATCCTGGTCAGTCAGCTGAGTAGTTGTTTGGCTTTACAGGGGTTGCCGCTTCTTAGACATAAGCAAGTATAAGATCGTTAAGGGGACCTGCTTTGCAGGCAAGGCTCTGAAGAAGTGGCACCGATGTACCCAAGTTTGCAGGCTCACATCACCGAGTGGCAGCTGGCGTACTCACCCGTGCACATGTCATATGCATCCGATACGCTCGGGTTCACTAGGTTTTGAAACACGGAAGTCAAGTGCCGCATCAGTGAGTTCCAATGTGTGCACTGCAGTCGAATCCATTGCACTTTGCGGACACAGGCTCCCTGCACGCAGCACGTCTAATTAGATGCATTCGGCTCAGACTCTGAGGAAGGCAGCGCTGTTCTCAGTTTCTGCCAGCACTGCAGGCGTTCCAGCCAGACGGGCACCGCATTTTTTCCAAGGGGAAGTTCTGTTTGTACCTGTGTTTGCACTGGCCCTAAGCTGCCCGACCTGGCGGAGGCGGACACAATCGTGCTTGCAAAAACTTCCAACTCCCTGGGAGCTGCCACACTCCTCCAGCACCGCAGTTGAGCGCCTCTCATTCTCCGTCACCTTGGGCTCCAGCTGCAAGTTGGTAGAAGCTCTCGTCCCAGGCCTGAAGACCAGGAAGCTGCACCCAGATCTTGTGCACCTGATCTCTGAGGTTCCAGACATGGCGGGACGTTCGAATGCACGGCCGCCTGAAAGGGCACTGCCAAGCAAGGCCCTCCAGCTGTCCAGCTCGCTGGTGCCTGCATTGGTGACATCCTGTCACGGTGTGGGACGCTCTGTGTGATGGCAAGCGGCGTGCACGCCAGTTTCGGCTAATCGTGGCAGACCCGTCCATCAGTCCCAGACTTAGTACCACTGAGTGCCCGTGCCCTTGGCACGACGGAGTGCCTGCCTTGCACTGGCTGTTGTAAATGCAAGGTGGGGGATCCATCATGCAAATGCTGGAGCTGCCTGTTCCACTTACCATGGGCAAGGTGCACACGAAATTCAAGGAATTTCCGAACCACCCACCGCTCTTTTAGCTACGTTGTCTCATAGCGGCCCAGAGTCAGTTGCGCATTCATCGCTGTCACGGGAGTGCTCACCCCGCCGACCCGCCAGGTTGTCGCCTTGCTTGAAAGCAAGCCTGCATTTCGATTCCAGGACCTTTTCGGCTGGCAGTTGTCAACAAAAACTTTACGGAGAGAGAGTTCCTTGCCTCCAGGAGCTTTGCGAGAACAGAGGCGTCACATCCTTGGACGTCCAGGTTCGTCTCCAAGGTCCCCAGCCTGAAAGCCGAGAATGTCACTGCACGACTTGGCTTTCAGCTCTCGGCCGTTGGATGGTACGCAGGCTTAGACGGTCAGAGAAGGTGTCCTCTCCAAACTGACGAAGACATCGTCGGCCGACTGAGATGTTTTTCCGTTTTCAGGGTGGGCATACCATGAACATCGCAAGCAGATCTGCCGAGGAAGTCTTCTTGAACAATCTCCAGATTAGCAACATTCCTGTGATAGAGGCCGCCGTGTCGATGAGACCTCGGTTTGATGTCGCATGAGCACGCCCGCAATGAAGGCCCAGCTTCCGCTGGAAAACTCATTCGCGGTAGCATCAGAGCACCACCAGCGCGGTGTGCAGGCTGGCAGGCGCGAAGCTGCATGGCAAAATGCTTGAAGGAACCGCATAAGCTACGTCTACGTATTCTGAGGCAGAGAGGCCGAGATCCACGGGATCAGATCGAGGAGCTCGAGGAGACCTTGCATTGGTCTCCGAGTCTGTGCGTATTCAGAGATGCCACCTTTGCAGGATGCCAACTTCAAGCTCACCCGAGCTGGCTGCCAGCATTACGATCGCTTTGGGATACTTAGTTTTCATAGTCTCGACATCTTCGATGGCTATCAAGAACCTACAGCCCGAGTTCGGCAAAGTGAGTCGTGAATCGTAGATCATGATTGCTTGTCCGGTCACAGCTTTCAGCAACCCTGAGGCAACTGACCGCGTGGAACGCAGACTTGCAGAACTGGAGACTGCTCTGCATTAGAGTCATCAATTCTTAACGCTCCGCGCCGTTTGCTGCGGCAGTGTAGATCCGAGAGCAGGGCGACAGACAAACCTTGGTGCTGTCGACTGCCGCGTGTGTACCAGTTTGATGGGCATTTGCCAGTTGCAGGCCGTACTCTCGGAATGTCTCGGAATCCTGAACCTTGAGCCCGAAATCTTGCTCTAGAAACCTGAATACTTAGTATGACTCGCAGACGGGCTGCTAGAGCCGCAGGAAAGTCAGCACGCAGCCACCCACTGCTGCGAGCCATAGCAAAGAAGTGCGGATGGGAGGGGAGGGGGTAGGTTGCACGGAGGAGGGAGGGAATTCTGCAAGACTCCTGGGCCGGAGAATTGGAAAACAGGGAAAAAAGGGGAACCTCGAGACGCCCGGCCAGGCCGAGGCGGGTTCGCATGTCAACATGCTTGCAGGGCGGACACCACGCGACAAGAGCCCAGTGTCATCTAACAAAAGCCCGTCCATTTCGTGGCTTCCATAGTGACACGGCCAGCAGACGCGCAGCGCAGTCTGACTCTGAGCACACAGTTGGAGGTTCCCTCACGGCTTTATCAAAGAAACTCGGGGGGGCCGACTCCCCACCTGAAGCTGCAAGAGCCGGAGCTTGAAAGGAGCGCTTGATCGCCACCACAGATGAAAGGACCGAGAGAGCCAGGATCTTACATGCTGCCCAGAGCCAGAAGAGCGACCTCCCTAAGAACCCGAAACTTTAACAACCCTCAAAGACCGGTCCGTTTTCTCTTGTGAACCCTGGCAACTGCATCGCAGACGGTGGGCATCGCACGCCGTGAGATGAATGAAGTGCTGGCCGGGCCCTTGGCCTTGACTTCTGTACTGTATATAGTACAGTATTTGATGTTTGCTACATGTATGTATATATATATACACACACATATACACATACATGTGGACACACACACACACATACACATACATACATGCATTAATGCATTCATGCATGTATGCATACATACATGAACTGCCCCGACTCTGTAACAGTCGGATAACATTCAAAACAGTTATATATAGCCTTAATATGACCCTAGTATAGACTGTTGCAGGGTGGGGGGGCAGTACCTAACATACATGTCTCTATATATATATATATAGATATGTATGTGTATATATATATATATTTATTTCTGTATACACTTACATACCCACATATGTACAAAAAGCCCGGCACTTTGATGTTCAAGCAAAACACAAGAAGTTGTCAGAGCAGTTGAACTTTTTATTCGGAAGGGCCGTCTGTTTTCAAGCTAAGGACAAGGCTGTTCAGGAGCTGAACCAGAAGGTGGCGGTCGTCTGCTTATTTCCTGATGCCAAGAAATAAGCTGATAAACTGTCCACCAAGCCTTTCTATCCCTGCTCTACCAAGGGTCTCAAAGAGGATGATGCAGCCATCCTACGCGACCTTGACCAAGTCAGGCGAGTACAGGAAGTAGGAAGGTCATCGAGGCAAGAAGAACGCCGTTTCGCATACATCCATCAAGGCAGCACAGCAACTCTGTGCAGCAGCTGGACGCGAAACACCACAAGGCTCTTCCCTTCGCGATGTTCTATCATCTATCTGCTGCGAATGCCATGCTCCTTTTCCTAGACTCCACATGTGGCAATCTCTTGAAGGAGATTCTGGATCAGCTCAGCACTTTCGCTCTTCGAGTAGATGAGCAGTCCAAGTCTCACAGTGCCGACATTGCAGATGAATCTTGGCCCATCTCGTTGAAGATGTGAGATTCAAAGGTTTGACGAGGTCAACGGCAGCCTCGACAAGCTGCAGGAGGAGGATCAACGTTTAGACACCGAGGCTGGCAGCTCCTAAGATTCTGTCTGGTTCTGAAAGCCACTTTGTCCAGTCCTGCGGTTCCACAATGTGCCAGGCGCAAGCGGCAAGGGAAGATCACAGGATGCAGCTGGACGCTCACCTAGACGAACTGCAAAGGTTGGAGGAAGCCAAGGCCAGGCGGGAGAGGAAGTCTGGGTGCGGAGACATTGAGAAGCTCTGCTGGAGGTGAGCGTGGACATGTGGCAATCAGAGGGCAACGCCATGGCTGAAAGGATCACGAAGGACATTCATGCCATGCCTGGAGAGTCCGAATGCGGCTTTGCTCCGGCACCCGTGCAGGATGTGGAAGCTTTGAAGGAGCAGATGAAGGAGGCCTTGGCAGACGTCAGGGTGTCGAGTTCAACGTACTGGCCGGGAGACTGTCGAGACATGATAGGAGCTGTTGGACCTGAACACTCGATTCGGAAATGTCGGGGCCTTGCTACATTGCTTCATTTTCGAAGTTGGAGTCGGAAGTCGAATCTGCACAAGAATTCAGGAGTGCGAATTGACAACTCAGCGACTGGAGAAGGCTGCGGGCTTGGAGTGTTTGCAAGCACAAAATGCAGTAGGCTGCACCCGTTGTACTGAACGTAACATTAAAAGGCTAGAAGTGTCCTGGGTACTTCAGCAGGAGCAGTCAGATCGAGCAGAACGAGACGACCTGTTGGACAGGCTCGGATCATCTGGAGTTCGAGTGATCTAGGCTCTTGTGTGATTGGCTTCGAGTGGTCACAGCTGCAGAACCCCAGGACCCTCCAAGAGACGACCAGCCGTTTGGACGCGGAACTCTCCCGGCTCAACAACGACACCCAGGACTTTCGCTGCCACCTGGGGAAGAGTTCGGTCAGTCATGTTGTGGATGGATTCCTTGACAGGACAAGTTCAAAGAAGCCAGAGAAGCTTTAGAGGCACGCATTGGTGCTTCTGCTAGGAACGAAGATCTGCTTTACTCTTTGCCTGCTTCGTCTTTCCGTGGGGAGAAGAGAC